CTAGTTTGGAATGGAGTCAATAAGAAAATAAATTGCTGTAAATAACTGTCATTACTGTTTCATCAGTAGAACAAATTAAACATTCAAAGCAAGCTTCCGCTGAGACATTTTCAAGAACTGCTTAATATATATGTGATATATTGATGGCTATCCAGTGATGTGCTCTGTTTGATTTTTGAAGAATGATTTAGAATGATGTGAAATAAATATTTAATTTATATATTTTATCAAGAGTAATATGCAGGTGATGCATGGAATGATCCAAATATCCTGAATTTTTTATTTCATTGCATGAAAAAGTTCTACAGAGTAAGAGAATTTCAAATTTCTTTGTGCAAACTTTCATTTCAATCCATTCAAATTGAAATATACTGATTGATCCAATTCATAATGTAATTGAAACATTATTTATTCCGTTTGGAAAAATTCTACAATCATGACTTAAATTATCCATCTTGAATCATATAAGATATCAGTTCACCAGTTTAAGAACCATTCAAAGAAATATCTTTGGATCTAGAACACTTGGTACACCACTGTGCAATTAATATAATAACAAAGACCTTACTTTTATACAGAGAAAAATCTTTATAATTTTAATAACCGCAACACATATTCCAATTATGGAACCAATTAAATCAAGATAGCGTTACTAATGTAAAAAAATGAGTGTTTCCTTTCATACTCCACTTATTTTCTAAGTGATCGCCTGTTTTTGCACTCTCCCAATTTGAATGTATATGAGAAAAACTCAAGAATTCATTCGTCAAGAATGTTTATTAAATGTTGGCATGTCAGGATAACAATTATTCATCACACAATATATATCAGAATACCGTTTCTAGTAAGTATAATAACTATATATATCATCACTTCACATTGCATTATCCATAAAATTATAACCTAAATATTTTGACCCTAGAGGATTATTTCGAATTTTCATAACTATTTCACGAATTTTATGTCAAAATTAGCTTTCATATAAATATATTTTTCAGTGATTATATAAACTTCCGAGTTAATTATGTTTATATCACTTTTTGCGATGAGTTGACCCGCCATCGCAAAGTCTTCTCCGGTTCAGACCAAACTTTTCAGAAAACAGGATTTTTGATAAACATACCATTTCATATGTAGTGCGAGGAGTTAATAATGTAATTTTTACAAAGGAAACATACTACTCAAACTGATTCGCAAACAATGGCAGTGATACCCTTCTTAGGTCAAAAGTTTTGGACACTATATTTATTCAGATTATTTTGTTGATAAACTGTCAAATCTAGTTTGATACTGATTGGAACCTTTGATGTAGTAATCAATATTAATGGAGTTATATCCCAACAACAAACCGTTATTTTTAACACCTCGAGACGTGTTTCAATTACTAAGTGATCATCTTCAAGAGGAAGATCAAACTACAAATCATAATTTTCCTAATCCAGTAATATTCATTTGTCAAACCTAGGTCTACCAGATACATCAAATCGTATATAAACGATCGCCATTTAATTGTCAAATATAATTAGGACGTTCCATATTATGTGTTTACTTGTCATGTTTACCTGCAACACAGCATAATCCAGAAACCTGCTCGGATTCAAATCTCAATTGAAGTGTTTATACAAAATATTTTTCAATTGATACATTTTTTCTGTCGGTCGATAGCCGGTCGGTTCAACGTGAGTGCTTTGTTCACTCACTCAAATCGACCGCCGTGTTGGTCGGTGGTTAATGCCCCAGGCTGAACGATAGATTTTCACTTGCTATCGTCCAACCCGTGTTAGGATTCGCACGTTAAAAAGTAGGACCTAGTTAGTCCTTAGCTCGCACAAGTTTCGATTTCTGAGGGTTGTCGTTAGTAGGGGTGCGACAACTGGTTTTTAGGTTAAGTTAGCTTGTTAAATTTAAAATGTATTTTACTGTCACTTTCTCTTTAATATACGTTTGTGTTTCTCAAAGAGACTTTAACCTTTGGTTTCCAATAAATCTTCTCCATTAAAAAAAGACCTCTTGGCTGTGCCGGACCTCTTGACTGTGTTGGATAAGAAAATCGCATATTCGAAAATTCAAAAAACCCATCATGGTAAAATATTCCGATTCAGGGTCCCCATTATACAACACAATTACTCCATTGACAATGTTATTTTAGTCACAAATAGTTTTTTTATGATACGTTAGCTCAACGTCCTGATAGTTGTATCGCGAATGCTTCATTCGTCTGACTTATTTAGGTAGATTTATTCATTCATAAATTTATTCACAATAAGTATATTGAGTTTTATTGTAATACGAGGCTTCGATTAGCGTCTCGAACATATTTTCACAGTTTCAGCTGTTTTAGCATGTTGTTTTTCAACGTGCTGGATATTATAGATAAAAATCCTCAGCTGATGCAATACGTGGAAGTCTTCTACAATCCCGATGCCTCTCGTCAAGATATCGAAGTAGCTGGAGAGCGAATTATGCTGGCCTTGTACGGTCAATTCGATACTAATTCAACATCAGGCCAGTGTCGTGTTTCTCGATTTTTAAGTATGATTGCGAAATCAAAGACTGCGNACTTTTTTTACGCAAATTCATTGATCTTTTCAAATCTTTTTTCAAATTTCCAAAATTTTGAAAATTTTCCGAGATATCAAGAAAAAACTAAAGCCCCATTTTTTTTTCACTTAATTGTTTATAACTTTTGTAATTTTTATCGGCGCGTTGTCGGACCTTTCCTTAAACTTTCTAGGCAAAAATACGAATCGAATGACACCTTGGTCGTAATTTTTGGACAGAGCTGAAAAATGTCACCAAAAAGAGCTGAATCGAGTACATGTGAACCAGACTATTGAGCGATATTCCGTTATCAAAATCAATGGATTAAAAAATTTGCATCAAATTTTTTATAAAAAATGGAATGAAGTGCTCAATTACATTCGAAATGTTAACAGTGGCATACGGTGATTGTACTGTGACTCAGAAAAATGTTTACAAGTCGTACAAGCTTTTGACAAAAGGTCGAGAAGATGTAAATGACGTCGCTCGCCCTGAGCGTCCCAGCACACCAACAACCGATGAAAATGTGAAAGAAAAGAAAGACACTTATGGAGAATCGTCGCATCACTATCAAAGAAGTTGCTGAGGATTTCGGCAAATCGTTAAGCTCATACCATGCAATTTTTTCGTTCCAAAATTACTGACGTTTTACCAAAAAACCGTCGCATGAGCATCGCTCAGGAATTGTTGAATGACATCAATGGCGATCCTAAATTGCCTAAGAGGGTCCTCAATCGTCGAAAAACGCTATCTTTTTATAGGTCTTCAATCTTCAATCTTGGAAAAAGAGAAACATCACAGGGCTGTTTCGAGCTGTTTGGCCACTCGTCAGTGCAAGGTAGTGTCTATCATCAACATCAAGTCGATGATTTCCAATAAATGAAAATCGAATTCCTTCAGAGTAGCATTCCTCGAATGATACTCTGAAGAATATTTGTCAGCGCGCCATCTGCCAGTGAACGAGGTAACCAACCGCATATCCAAAATTTGCCCAATTCCTCGTAAAAGGAAAAAACTTCACATATAGTCAGTGGGCATACTTGAAGACTGGCTATAACTCAAATCATCTAAAGGCCAAACAGCCCGAAACCGGTCTGCAAGTGTAATTCAATATTTGAAAATTTATTGCGGCAGTTGTATCGCCAACAGCATATGCAGGAATAACTTCAGTGAAGAATCCTGAACTGACACCAGTCGGATATAATGCAACGCCCTTCGTGTTATAGTTGTTTTCTGATAGGTGTCAGTTCATTAACCTACAGTGTAGGGAGTTGAGACTGGCCTAAACAAATAGTTCCTTCGGAAGATTTGATTTATAGCCAGTCTTCAAGTATGCCCACTAACTACATGTAATCTTTCCAGAAGTAGTCCCAAAAAGTAAAGAGAAAGTAGAAATACGAAGACCTAACGATGCCTATGACATATGAGATGAGATGACCTATGAGAGACCTATGAGAAAAAGTCTACCGGAATCAAATCGCACGCTCTCGGTGGCCATTTCACATCACCTCCACGTGAGATAACCACGCCCTCAAATATTTTGTGCATAATATCCAATGTGGCATGAGCTGTGTGGCAGGTAGCGCCTTCCTGTTGAAAACACATATCGTTGGTGTCCAGATCATTCAATTCATCCCAAAAAAAGTTGGTTACCATAGAACTATAGTGCTCGCCGCTGACAGTGATAGCCTGACCAATATCTTTCTCAAAGAAATATAAACCGATGACGGCACCTGCCCAAAATCCACACCAATCAGTGATTTTTTCGGGATGCATTGGACGCTCTTAGATCTCGTGCGGATTGGTATCGTCCCAAATATGATAATTTTCTTTCTTCACGTATCCATTCATCCAGAAATGGCCTCATTGCTGAATATGACTTTTAGATGAAAATCGGGGTTGGTTGCCAACTGCTCCAGAGCACATTATGCGAACATACGTCGTTGTCTATGATCTTTTACCTCCAGTTCCTGGGTCAGTTGAATTTTTTACGGGTGCAATCCCAAGTCACGACGCAAAATCCGTCAAACTGTGATTTGCGAAAAGACGAGTTCTTGTGAGCGACGCGAAATCGACTGCCTAGGATTATCCTGCACACTCTCACAGAGAGCGATGATGTTTGGGTGTTGGTCGATCGTTCACTGAGCCAGGGAATCAAATTTATCCACCACATTACTAATATTCCTCTTGGTAGGACGCTTATAGCGACTGTAAAACAGGCGAAGCGCGTGGTACGTTGCCCGAACAGAACACCTATTTTGACAAAATAATTTTATTATTTGCACATGTTGTTGAATGCTATATCCGTCCATGGTGATTTGGCAAAACAGACTGAATAAATGGCAACTAATTTGAGAGATGTGGCTTTAACAAGATAGTCGTTATCAATTGTCAAAGTTCGTGAGTCCCTGATGACAGACCCTATAGATTATTCAACGATAAAGAAAATCGCAACTTACCTTTCTGTGTTCATTGCAGAATCTAGTAACCATTTCTGACAACTGCTGTGCTCGCGCCGTATGTAAATTCAGCCTTCCTTGGGGCCCGTCTAAGATGACACTCGATGGTCGAGGAGCACTGCATGATGATATTTCTGGGAGAGCAAATGACTTAAGAACTTGCAACTGGTTTTGTTCCCTTCTGGCCAAGTGGATACCCCAATGGGATACTGCTACGAATTGGATTTCAGACAACTAAAAAGAAAAACACATAATAATGGCTGCACTGTGTCAATCACACTTTATTATACAGTAAGCTAACAGTAATTGGTTTTCGAAGACATTCCTTAAAACGGATTCAATCATATTTATCTGAACGTCAACAATACGTTAGTGTTCCGACTATTACGGAAAAAATATTACGAAAAAAATCTTAAATCAGTAAATCCGATCATATTTCTTTCACTATGGGTGTCCCACAAGGATCTGTTTTGAAGCCCGTTTTATTTTCACTATATATGAATAACATAACATCTAGATTGCATCAGTACACTTCACAATTTATGCAGATGACACTTCAATTATGATATCTAACAAAGCAAATGCAGCTTTAGAAACACAATCTAAAAATATATTATCGAATCTTTATGAATGGTTCTGCAGGAATTCTCTTCATCTTACGCAGAAAAAACACATGCAGTACACTTTCATAAAAAACAAAAACAGGTAGCTAATATAGACATCAACATTGGCAATCATCATGTGTGAAATTTTTTGGTCTTCATGTCGATGAGTGTCTTGACTGGAGAAGACAACACTGTGAGGCAGTTGTTTCAAATATGAATTATGTGATTTATATGCTTCGTAATCTCAAATGGGTTATTATTCATGACCAGTTCACTATGCTGTATTTTGTTAAGGCAGAATCCTGCTTGAGATATGGCATTGTCTTCTAGGCAATGTCATCAAAAGTTAATGATGTTTTCAGCTTCAAGAAAAAATTGATTTGTTGTGTATCGAGTACAACCAGTTGTGAGAATCATTTTGATTCTCACAACATGGCAGAGTTAAGAAAAATCTTAACTCTGCCATGTCCGTTTATTTTTGAAATCAGTTTATTTGTATAAGTACTGCAATTTAAAACATTTTGAAACAAATGCTCAAATGCATTCACTCAATACAAACCAATATAATGATTTACATACACCTTTTTTTGAAAAAAATTGCCCTTTCCAATTCTCCAGGATTTTCAATAAATTACCATTGATATGAAATCTATTCCTGAACTGAAATTCTGCAGATGAATATTTTTTGCACTGATTTACAGATTACAGACTTTACAGATATATGTATGTTCCTCTTTTTAGGTATTATTTTTACTTTTAAGACATTGACTAATCCTATACAAATTATTTTGTCATAAAGGAAATAAAGAAAAAATTGAGATCGATAATATGATGATTTGAATCAGATTATTTTTTATTTTTAAATAAGTTTTTATAAATCAACGAGATACACCTCAGTACAAAAAAAGTGCAACAACTCATAAGTTGTGATGAAAACTGATAACTACACATCAACTTCTCAATTCACTGAATGGAAAAAGTCAAATAACCAAAATCTGTAACCAAATATACAAAGAAGATGAATGCGGCAGTTATTTAATATTTTCGAAGTTCCTTTGAAAGGGGTAAGAGGTTCAGAATCTATCGTAGTCTAAAAGTCATTAGTGGATATTTGCAATGTTCCAGAAATTTTGGGAAATCAATTCATAAAACCACTTTCTGTAGTGGAAGCAGATTCGACTAACTTGAATCAATACATATAATAAAGTGTAACTGGTCGCTGGCTATTTGTCAGTTTACTTGTGCGTTTGTTCACGCTAATCTCAAAAACAGCTCAACCAATTTTGGTGCAATTTTCACTCATGTGTTATGATAAGCTTCTCCATCATTCATTGGTAAATGAAAAAGTTATGTCAGTTCAAGGTACACGTCAAATATTTGAAAATATACCTATTTACCTAGATACCTAAATGCTGTTCAAATTAGGCTAAAATTTCAGTTGATTATATTCAGTTTGTGAAATGACATTCTCATGAATCAAAAATTAATGGAAACTCTTAAAAAATTTCGGATACCCCAAAAACGAATTTCACGCGAAAAAACCGCTGGCAACCGCTATACAAAATATATTCAAATGATTGGTTAATTTTCTTCATGAAATGTTTATTTTTCAATTTCAACTGTAGGAGTTTATAATTAACTTTGAATTTTGTTGAAGGTCACACGAAATCAGATGGTACTGAAAATTTTTATAGGAATGTACCATTGAGAATGTACTATGAAAAATCTAAATGAGAGAATGCTGATGACCATATTATAAATGACGTACATGTGAGTATATCTGTATGGATCAGAAACTGAGCAACAATTCATTGTTATGGTAGTTCACTTCCAAGAAAATTATCGTTTGTTATTTTCGGCTCACTGAGTATATCTCCACAATTCATTGTGGAAGAAAACATTGAATAATCGGCGACTGTTTGAATGTTTTATCTTAATTTACTGCCTAACGCTATTTGTTCCATTATATCAAGCAAATATGCTTGACAGGAATTTTCATCACTTCAACCACTTGAAGCCTTTCAAAACAGATTTCAGTTACAAAGAAGAAGAGCTATTCCGGAAGTGTAATTACTCTATTTTAAAAATTAGAAGGTAACCCTCATTCTATAATTAGGTCTCCACACTTGTTGAATGTATTGCTGACTCAAATGAATTTAGTGAACGAATTTCTTAAAATTATATTTGAAGCAATTGTTCATATGAAGGTGGAAAACCTTTAATTACTCACTTGGGCTGCGCCAGAGACTGCAAAAAGCCTCGTAAAGTAAAGAGGCCAGGTCCTGGCCAGCTCTATCACGTTCCTCTTGATATTCGCCCTATGAGAATTATTGTAATTGTCGGCGGTTACTCCGTATCCCGATAACATGTTGACACCTGCCCTCTTCTCGTTTTGACTCAACCTTATACAGGGCGTCAAACCATAAACGTCACCTACGATTTGGCAGAAAATCAAGTGCATTGCATTCAGCGGTCCCAACGATTCAGAGGGTGAAAATACTTCTTTTCGCACTCTTAGGAGCCAGGACACTCTGTTGTATGTGACGCATGCGGAAGTTCCTAGAGGAAGCAGCCTAGATATTGTCTTGGGGGATTCTGCTTTTTGTGGCGGTTGCGGTGATGATTGAGGAGGGACTGGAGACTTCGGAGGTGGTGTTTGGATTGGTCTCATGAACTCTGGCCATTCTTGAACTGAAACAAAAACGTCGAAAATTTTTTGTAAAAATCATATTGGTTCATTAACGAATAACAGAATGAACTCAAATAAACAATAGGTTTCACGAAAAATAAGTTTATTCCTTCATAACATGTTTGAGAAGGTTGAATTCGAGTTGAGTTCGAGGTTGATTGAAAAAATATCATAGGCAAAGAGGTCCTAACTGTTTCATCTTTCAATATATAAGGTTCTGAAGTGTCAAGAATTAAATATTTTTCATAACTTTGATATGACACTAGATGTTTTTGTGAAACGTAGAAGCCACTTTTATGTACCGCTTTACAACATTTTTTCTTGCCAGTGGCGTCCGTGCAAGATTTGCACTGAATCATTTCAAAGAGGAAAGTGATTCGTTACTGATTTTTATTAAAATAAAAATAATTTTTAAATCGACATTCCATTCTAAATCAATCCGGTCCCTTGATTTTTTTGTAAGAGGTGAAATTTTCACATCACCATCTATCACAAAACAAAGTGCCTCTCCCGTGACTGTTTGTCTGTGTACTGAACGCGATGAACTCAAACATTACTATGATATATGTTGAGTAAAACTCGGAAATTTCGGAAATAAAACTGTTAAAACAGATATACAAATAGATAGGGAAACAAAGAATATAATTGAATAAATAGGGAATACAAATATATGTTTTCATTCTTCTGAATGACTGATATAGATCTCAGAATTCCCTCTAACGCTAGCACCACCGTGCTTCCCTTCTGAACCTGCTTATTTACATATCCTCAACAACAAAATTACCAAAAAATAATCCCAGGAAAGCACGAAACACTTCAGTATTGACAGCTTACTGGCCTTATCTGTGAAAAATCTAAACTGAGGTAAGTAGGTTAGGTCAAAAATGAGTCTATTCGACCCTCCACTGCAACCCGCATGGGTCTATTGTGGCTCACACCTATTCACACTCGAAGAAATAAACTCAGCTTCCTAACGAAGCCGATTTGTTTATTTGGTGAGTTATTTTTCAAGTCAGATGGAGAGAGTGCGGCTCTGCCAAACTCTGAAAACCTGATTCGGTCCATAGCAGCAGGCATAGCAGCTGTTCCATCGTTTTCCAAACAGAAGCGACACACGCTGTCTTCCGACTGTCCGATTCTCTGCATATAATAATTCAGACGACAGTGGCATGTGAGAAGGCCTGTTAGACATCGTTGTTCATCCCTACTGTAGTCCAATAACTGTTTGGTTTCAAGCTTCGAAGGGTGAATGAACGCCTTGGAGGGAGCCAATTCTGGAAGATTTTGGCAGAAGTCCATGGGGAAAGTAATAGAATAGAATAGTAATAGTAATAGAATAGAATAGAATTTATATTCGTCTTACCTTCTGTTCTTTCAGTTTTGTCAGTCATTTGCGTGGATGCCACAGAATGTTTCTTCTCCCTTTCCTTAGCGCTCTTATTGAACATATGCGTTTTGAAAGTGGGCCTTTCGGTAACGTCGTGGCGCATTACCTCTTTCCGAACATTCTTGCTCTTCTCGAATCTCCTTTCCTCCCTATCCCACATCTCCGCCATATGTCTTGGATCGACAGAGGTATTTGTTGTTGTCTCACCCAAGTCCCAACTGTCCCTTCTATCATCACGCTTATCCATTTCTTTTCCCCATCCCACCCCATCGTCTGTCGTATCTTGAGTCATGCTACTTTGGACGTCCCAATTAGCACTGAAGGAGTTTCGTTTGGAGCTTTGGGTAACTCGGTTCTGATGGACACCGAATGTGTCTCTGTCTTGTCTTTGAGCTATGAAAGATGATTCTCTGATCGGTTCTACTGGGGGAGGGGGTTGGTTCGGGCGCACGACAGGGGGTGGCGGTGCAGGGCCTGGAGGAGCAGGTGGCAGGGAACTTGGTCCGATTGGAGGAGGAGGAGGACCAGGTTTCCAATTGGAGCTTGCCCAACTCTGGGTCGTTGGAGATTTATTGCCGTTGCGAGAAATCTGGAAAAATGCGAAATGATAAATATGGTTAGTTTTTATGTTTTATGGGCCGATGAATACAACTTTTCCAATTATCGAATGTGTTACAGAAAAAAATCGGCACCTTTGGTCAAGAGACAATCGTTATTTGATACATTCACAAGGTCACCACAGGTACATTTCAGTATTAAAGTTTGGCCTAGAATAGTTTGAATAATTGGATGAAGTATTTTTGGTTCACTTCGTTTGAACAGATTTTCAAAGAGTGCAGGGAACATACAGTTTTGACTGTCATCTTGAATCATTCCTTGAATAAAATTAACCTCAAAATAGAGCATAATTTTTATTTTCAGCAAAAATGGAGCACTCCTCTACAGATTGACTTATCAGCTTGGCTTCGCCCTATTAGTCTAGTTAACAAGTTGAAATTTATGTTGAGGAGACATATCTCCTAAAACTATGAGCTGAGCACATATGATTGAAAATTACACGAAGAAAAATGTATTTAAATGATTCAGAAAGATCATTTGATAACAGTTCATAGACAAAAATTATTTATTATGATTTTTCCAGTTCCAACAGGCAACCATACAGTTTTTAAACACTATATAAACACTTAATCAAATTTTACTTTAATATGTCATATTTGATCTCGATCAAGTATCGGCCAATTCCGTCATATATAGAAAAGAGGTATTCAACTGAGAAAGTGAAAATGCACATATATTCACATCATGATAGTGAAAGCTACTAGCAGGCTGATTCAAATTATTTCGTTTCTTCAATAAAAAAAAAGTTATGGATTGCGCATTTGATTTGGGTCAGCCTCATTCCATGGGGTGCCTTATTCGATATCATTGGCAACAAGTGGTTTGTGAATGCTGGGCGATGGATACATATGGATACTCCCAAATATGAGTACACTCGAAAAGAATGTAAAACATTTACTTCAGCACCATATATCGAAAAATGTATGTATACAATGCTGACGTAGGTACTAGATCTGCAACTCATAATTTGTTGTCTTTCAATTCAATCAATTGTTAGAATAGCACAAAAAGTAATTCTAGTTACATTAGATTCATTCTTTCCACTATTTTTGACATTTATTCAAACATTTTTTTCCAGACACAGTGCTCAAAATGTATTTTGCTGAATATTTGAAGTATTGTAGATAGTATGATCATTGTTAGAATAGTAGCCTTTTCGAAAATGTGCAGCAAGATCAGTGATCTACAACGGAATTTGAAATTATGTCTATTATTTACCACTAAGAATTATGTGAAAATATTAAATTTAATTCTATATTTCATTCCGAATGAAATTGAACTGTGGATGAGAATATTTCAAAACTCACACGTGGATAATTATCTGGACTCGATTTTCCACTGTTGTTCCGAGAGTCATCACCCCATATTCCAGCAAGTTGCTGTTCCAACATCATTTTTCTGGTATCTTCCAGTTTATTGACCACCCGCGCTGGTTTATCCACATTACTACTTGTAGACCTCACAGAGTGATTGGCCGTCACCAGTTCTAGTCTCTGCCTCATTTCTGAGCTGAGTTTCAACTTTCCCACACTTCCAGGGGACGGTCTGGAAGCTCCAATTTCAAAAGCGCGTTTAGAGTTTTTACTAAGCCTTTCATTTTCTCGCACCATCGGTTCGAATTCTATCTCCTCCCATTCTGCAGCCGGTTGTTCAGATTTATTGAAGTTTCCACTACTGTGACCACTATGGCCATTAGTATTTGTCAACGATTGATCCTTAGCAGGGGTGACTTTTCGTTGATGCTGTCTCATTTTGAAATGCATGAAGTCTTCTCCAGTTTCTTGATTTGTTCCGTCGTTTGGAGGTGGCCAGCGCCATTTTCCAATTCTCACGGTCTTAGCGCGACCATAAGGATCCATGAACGGACGTACTTCGCTAGGGTCAGTACCATCTAGTGGTGGGGGCATTGGTGGAGGTGGAGGCGGAGGAGGTACGCCATTCCTACTTATAACACTCATATTTGATTCAGAGCTAGCTTTGCGTGACTTGAATTCCTGCGAGCTTGGAGAACTACTCTTTCTATAACTGTTCGAAGATTTGAAACTAGATTTTCTATTTGGGTGCGGCTGGCTAGATTGATGTATTTGAGCTTTCACCGTTGTCTGCACCGTTTCCGTTATTTTCGTTTCACTGGAAACTCCAGGATTCTGCTGAGTCAACAACTGCTGTAGGGCTTGATTTTGTGCCAATAGTTGTTGCTGAATTTGAATATTTTGTGCCATAGCAGACTGCAAAAAGGCCCGCTGCAAATTTTGTTGATAGGCAGCAATGTCTGTACCATTTTGAGGCATTCCTACTCCTGGCATGTTGAACACTGGCATGAAACCGTCCTGTGTAGGACTCAACATCGGCATCATAAGCTGCGCTGGGTTCACAATAGGAGCTGTAATTGGAGGGTAGGTGTAACTAGAGGTACCAGCAGAATTTTGAGTTGTGCCTCCGCCTTTGATACTGTCAACCAAATTGTGCTTCTCAGTCAGGTTTTTCAAACTGTCGTTAATGAAGATTGGTCTGAATAGGTCGCTAATATAGTCATCTACATTACCATTCGTTTTAGTTCCGGATGGAATTTGAAGTTTCTGTGATGTGAGATTTTCTACTTCTTTATCTAGCATCGCACTACTTTGACTATCGTTTCTAGATCTGTGACCACCACCTTTAATTTTATCTACAATATCATTTACACTCGACATTTCTATCTTGGTGTGTTGCAAGCCTTCTAATATATCATCGATGAATTCATCTAGGTCGTCGATACTATCTTCATCCGAATTATGAACATCTTTAGGTCCACCACCTTTTATACTTGCTGCTAATGACCTAGCATCACTCAACTCATCCAGGTTACCATCTAAAACGGGACTGAAAAGTTCATCTAAAAATTGGTCTACATCAGAAGCCTGACTTGGTACCCTCACTCTCCTGACGTGACTTGCCAAACTTGGAGCTTCACTAGTGTCGGACATAGCTGAACTTCTGACTCCTCCGAATTCGGATTTTTCAATATGAGCCCTGCTGGAGTGGGAGCCAGGAGGTGCTTTTTTGCCAGCGTACGATGACTTGATATATCTTGGACCACCCCTGTGTGACGTACCCACACTGGAGACATCAGGATATTCAAATTCAATTTCAGGTTTGGGCATATAAGTTTGGTTGCTCATTACTGGTTTGATTGGAGCTAATTGTTCAACTGAGTGATACCTTTCGTTGAGTCTAGAGGACTGACTGAGTCCCAAATCAGCTAAAGGTGTAGGCTCAGGTTCGTTCAGTAAGTTATCCAAACTTCTTGAACGTGCTTTCTCTATTTCAAAATACCTCTCGTTCAGAGCTGAATTCCGTGACAAAGCTTCGTGTGAAGTTTTTCTAGGACCTGGGGAACTAGTTGCTATAGGCGATTCCCTTTGTGGTGACCTAGTGTATTCATGTGTATCTCTCGAAGACTTTCTCGAACTGTGTCTGGAAGTTTGAATGTGAACTGGCGACTGTCTTATCATGTCTCTTTCTCTGAGAAGTTCTCTATCTCTAGCCGATTCCCTCTCTCTAGCCAATTCCCTTTCTCTGGCCAATTCTCTGTCTCCAGCCAATTCTCTGTCTCTGGCTATTTCTCTGTCTCTAGCCATTTCTCTATCTCTGGCGATTTCCCTTTCTCTAGCTGTTTCCCTATCCCTTGCCATTTCTCTTTCCAGAATCATCTCCCTGGAAACTTTGCGACTGACGTTAATAGGCGGTTCAGGTGGTGGAACTTGTGGTCTGCTAGGTGAGGGCATAACATGATGATCCACTTCAATTTGAGAAAGTCGTTTGGTACCAGCTTTGAGCCTGGTGGATTTGGATCCCGGGAAGGATGGACATAATTCCAGTTCAGAAACCAAATCCATTATGTAATCTGCACCATTGCCTTCTCCTATCACTCCTGAGTCATCAAGGACAACCGTCCATCCATCAGAGGTTACGCCAAGGGAAGAAATTGCTAATGATGCAGCCTGAAATGAGAGTAAGAATTATTACAAATATATTGTGAAATTAGAATGGTGTGATTGAGTTTTAATATTTCTGAAGTCTTGAGAATTATAATAATTGATAATAAATAATAACAATAAATTCCAACTAAATTAAATTTGTTAATTTTTTCAGATCGAACATATATTGCGTATACGACAACATCAAGCAATTGGATCACTAGAAACTGAAATTTCAATAAATGATAAAAAAAGTCTGTGAATTGAGCTAGAAAATACAAGTATTTCAAACTATTCAAGAACTTTTTTGGCAGAACAAGACTCAAAAACAGAAAAAAGATAAAAAGTAGATCCTCTTGAGAAAATGTTATTATTATTATCATTTGCGTATGGATAAATTATTGTATTCTAAATTCTGTGAAAGGATTTATTTAAGTTTTTTCATCATTGAATTAGTATTATAACGCTGTTTCAAATACTTACTTCTTCACAAGTCGTCCAAGAATCGACATTTACTGTTGACAAAGTTTGATCTGACATGGTCAAAGTTAAAGCAGTATTAGTACGTTGTCGAATACTTCTCCACTCTAATAAGCTCGGAGGAAATATTCTTGAATGAGGAGCTTTTTGAATACTTCTTGTCAGTTTTCGCTGGAGAGTTTCTTTCAGATTTGATGGAGCATAGTCTGTTATGAACTTTAGTAGGTACCTGAATGATAAACAAAATATATTCAGAAATATAATAATAATAATAAGTACATCGCGTATTTTTTGTTGAATAAACTTGGCTATTTTGAAATTATAAAATTTTGTGTGATAGAGACTATATTAATTGAATATTTTGTATAGTTTTATATCTGAACAACACAGTTATTACTCAATATCCAAATATTCACTAAATTAATCATTCGAGATTTCAACACATTTTCAATAATTTTCCCAAACAAATTCAAAAGAGCAATTGGATGATAATTTGAAAATTTTTTTCATTCAACTCCTTCATAAATTGATTCAAGTAGGTATAGATTTTTTCAGTACATTTTTCAATACATTTATTGATAATTATTGATAAAGGAAGACTAATCAGACCAACGATTTCTTTGAGGTTTTCAGGGGTAGTTCGATCTCCACCAGGAGCTGTATATTCATTTTTGAAGATATTTATTTTTTGTCTTCTTCTGAAGTAGGCTTTAAGAAGACAGATTCACAAGAAGATGGAAATTTGTTCAGTCTGACTTTGATTTACTAAAACTAGACAATATCTGAGAAAAAGTAATCAAATCCATTTGTCAATCAAATCCTTTTCATGTTAGTTGTTGTATGTTAGTGTAAAACCATTTGGAGATTTTATCTCTTTTGTACATTAATAACATTGTTTATTACCATTTATATTATTATCAATTGCATTCCAAATTTTTTTTAGGATTAGGTTTAAATTGTTCATTCGATTTTTCTCTTTTCATATTTTCACAACAAATTTCAATTTCATCTTTAGTATTTCTATTATATTATAATCTACATAATCAATCACCCGTTATGACTGAATAATATGTTCAATTTTATTATGGACTCCATATTCAGAGCTAAACGTCAATGCTTCAAACTTACTTGTGAAGTGAAGGACTTGGCTGGAAACAACTCAAACAATGCGCCATGAGTTGCCAGATTCGTTCAGAATTCTCGTTTTTCCAAGTTTGATTGCACAACTGAACCAGCAATTCGTCTCTCAGTCCCTTCGATGCCAAACCTTTATATATAATATAATCAGCAAGAGTCCTTTCTCTTTTACCCGTGAGCTGGGTATCGTTTGACCAACGCAAAATAAGTTTGAAAAGGGCAACAGCATCTTGAAAATCTTCATCCCTGGCTGCTGCCTTAGAAAGGAAAGGAGTTGTTATCGGCTCTTTCTTCATCTGCAAGTCTGCTCCTTTGAAGTACACTGAACAAAATTTAGCGAATTCGTACTGGTGCAAGTCGTTTGGAAGACTAACAGGTGGAGGTGACCCAATAACTCCCCCCAAAACTTTCATGAGGTTCTTCTCACTATGTGAGGGTGTGTATCCATCTAGTTTTGAGAAAATAAAGGCGAGTTCTGCGGGAATGTCCAAGTGGTTGACACTGGCCTTTGTTGCAACCTTTGCTACCGATTTTTGAGCTTGTGCTTGTAGCTGAGCTTCTCTGGCCGCTCTTTGTTTCGCACGTTCCTTCGCTACCTTCTCTGCTTCGACTCGTCGTCTAAACTCGGCCTTTCTTTGTATGAATCGCTTTCGCTCCAATCTACCTCTGTACACTGCTTGAGCTTTCACTATTCCTCTTCGAACTTTATCGTATTGTTCCCGTTGTCTGTAGCCTTTCCAGTGTTTCTGAATGGTCACAGCGCTCCTCTTCAGTCGTCTGTATTCTCTTCGCGCCAAAAATCCACGGACGTTCTTTTGTATGACCACTGCGGCTCCTTTGAGAGATTCTCCTCGTTTCACTTCTAACTGACGTTCTAAACTCTCGCGAAGGAATACCCTGGTTGCTCCTAGTTGAAAGTCTGGCCCCTCTGAAATTTCATTATTTAATATGTATGAGGATTGTGATAGTGAAAGTACACAATAAATAAAGCAATTGCGAATTTCAGATGTGCTTGTTAAAAGTTACATTACCTGTTCCTGTATCTGGCATTTGCTCCAAAATGGCTCTGCATAGGTCTCTGTAAGGAGCACCTCTTGGAATTCTAGTTAACAGATAACTGAAAAAGAAATTGGTAAGTTAAATAAGATTTGAATATGATAAGGCTAATTTGTGTCTGTTACATAATTAGACGGAGGAATTGGTGTGTTAAACGAAAGTGGAAGTATTGTTTCATATTTAATTAATGATAAAATTTACAATTCGTAAATATTAATGTATGGAGATGTGTTATACGGTTTCTGTAGATCGGTAGGCCGAATATTTTTTATCGAATAAGTAATCTTCCTTTCAATAGTGGAAGTAGTAGTATTCAATGTAATTCATTATTAAAATGCCTCCAGGTTTTTATCACGTTTTTTTTTTGTTTCAGATATGCTAACCATATCTGAAACATTCAAGAAACACTTTATTGAGTGATTTTCTCTTAACCGTTTTACAAAAATGCAACACGTGTTTCGCTATACAAAATCTTCTTCAGGCGTGTCTTTACTGTTTAGTGGAAACTTCACAATGAAGTTTTTCTTCAATACGTTATCGATTTCCATCAAGTACCTGCCGATTTCGTCACATATCGGTTGGACGCATTAACGTAGGTATTTATTACATTGGAACGGAAAAGTTCCTATATTTTTCGAATTAACTTATCTGATATCAGATATTGTCGAAATTAAATTTCACGTTCTTTTCGTTTCCAATTATAATTTGCTTGATCAGGTAACGAGGTAACGAGGTAAGGTAAGGTAAGAAAGTTGAAGCATTGAGAAAACACACTTGCGTTCTAGATAAAAAGTAAGGTAAGGTAACGTTGGGAAGGCAAGGTAACGCAAGGTAACAAGTTGGCTATTTTCAACTTTCTGCGTTGCGTTCTTACCTCCGACCAATCAGAAAGCGCCATACCACAAACTTTGACGGATATATCCGAATGGTGTGAAGGTAATGTCACCAGATAAACTTAAACGTCACATTGTGAAATTTGATTTCTTTTGATAGATGTTTTCTTTACTATGTAAAGTATTACACTTTTCACTTTCAATTGAGCTTTAGTCATAATTCATTTTCAAGTGATTACTTTGTCGAGAGACTAATTTACTTTGATCTTTAAATAATTTTTTTTATTCTACCAATTGTTTTTTTTTACATTCCCATGAACAAAAAATATTGTATCTACTTTCTAGGTTGGTGGCAAGTAAATAAATATTACATGAGGAAGTCAAATTCTTATTGTCACAAAATAATCAAAACAAAACTGCAGTACCTATCAC